TAGGATGTAATGTTTCCTTTTGAGCTCTGATTTCACAGCCCCTGAAATCCATCCTGTTCTGTGAAGCTCAATTTAATTTCATTTTTATCTTCACTTGCAAATAAATATTTTGTTTTCCCTTTGAGTGTGAGTCAATTTAATAACCTAATCAAAGATCAGAGCCTTCTGTATATATGGAGCATAATAAAGATAAGCTATATCTAATAAGCAGCCTTGAGGAAAGGGACTTGGGGGTGCTGGTGGACGAGAAGCTGGACATGAGCAGGCAGTGGGCAGCTGCAGCCCAGAAGGCCAATCCCATCCTGGGCTGCATCAAAAGAAGCGTTGCCAGCAGGTCCAGAGAGGGGATTCTGCCACTTTCCTCTGCTCTGGTGAGACCTCACCTGGAGTATTGTGTGCAGGTCTGGAGCCCTCAATACAAGAAGGACATGGACCTGATGGAGAGGGTCCAGAGGAGGGCCACAAGGATGATCAAGGGGATGGAGCACCTCTGCTACGAGGACAGGCTGAGGGAGCTGGGGTTGTTCAGCCTGGAGAAGAGGAGGCTCCGGGGAGGCCTAATAGCAGCCTTCCAGTACCTGAAGGGAGCCTACAGGAAGGCTGGGGAGAACCTGTTTAGAAAGGCCTGCAGTGACAGGACGAGGGGCAATGGCTTCAAGCTGGAGGGGAACAGATTTAGATTGGAGATTAGGAGAGGGTTCTTTACTGTGAGGGTAGTGGAGCACTGGAACAGGTTGCCCAGGGAGGTGGTTGAGGCCCCTTCCCTGGAGATATTCAAGGAGAGGCTCGATGAGGCCCTGGGCAACCTGGTCTAGTTGGGGGTGTCCCTGCTGACTGCGGGGGGGTCGGACTAGATGACCCTTGGAGGTCCCTTCCGGCCTGGGCAATTCTATGATTCTATGATTCTATATTCCTGAAAAAGTGTACCAAAACAGAGTAACGCTTCAAGACAGGCACTGCGATATTTAGTATTTGGGCATGTTTTAGGAAGAAATTCTTTGCTGTGAGGGTGGTGAGAGCCTGGCCTAGGTTGGCCAGAGAAGCTGTGGCTGCCCCATCCCTGGAGGGGTTCAAGGCCAGGCTGGATGGGGCTTGGAGCAACCTGGGCTGGTGGGAGGTGTCCCTGCCCAGGGCAGAGAGTTGGAACTGGATGATCTTTAAGGTCCCTTCCAACCCAAACCAGTCCATGATTCTATATAAAATAGCAAGACACCCACTCTCATTAGATAGTGCTGTAAAACAAATACCAGGCAATAACATTATTTCCTCTCATCTTCAAAAATGCAAAGCTGGCAGGCTCTCCTGGGATGTGATTAACAGCTTGTCAGTTGGGGGTACTTAAAAATGAAATTATTTCTTTAGCTATTAACCTTTGATAACATCAGTAATTCCCACATCCAGGGCACAGCAGGGTCTGGTGATGGAGGGGGAGGAGGAGGAGGGATGCGTACTGCCTCTCGCTGCCAGCAGCCACACCGACACACCGATGATGGGATGGCTTTAGCTTCCATGTCAACAGCTGACCAAAAGCCAAGCTTTCAGGAGCAGGCAGCACCTTGTGGCTCACCCAGTCTATCTACGGGGAGATTTTCATTAATATTCAGGCACTGGCTCCTCCCCAAAAATCCACTTTTGGCTTTAGGTCCCGGAAATGGCTACGATCTTCTAATGACCTGCCCCTTAAGGACACATCTCAGCCTCAGGGAACAGGGCCTCAAAGGCACTGCCTTGCTCTGCCATTCCTCTGCTGTTACCTGAAATAAAAGCTCTTTAAACTACTTCTGGTTTTGAGAGGAGATATCGCTTTATTTGACGTTGGGTGCTCGGTGGAAATCCATAAATCTAGCACACCTTACCAGGGGATATTCACCCATTATTTTTACACAAAAGATTCACATAATTCCGCCTACCTAATCCACAACCCCACCTGGGCTGATATACTTATTAGGATTACCCAATAGTCCTTTTGCACATGCATATTAGAATTTGCAATGTCAGCAAAACACTCCTATGTAGGCGTGAGCTCCTCAGTGGTCCTTTGGGTAAGGATACCCTTCCTTACATTATATTTTTACAGTACTTAGTCATCTCAGGACAGTAAAAGTTTACTGTAAGTTTGCCAACTTCTTGAGGATGATAAGGATGTTCCTGGAAAGAGCCACGGCTGTGTTCTAATTGGTACAGGAGTACATACTTCAACATATGAGAGAACCTTGAAGTGATTAACTACTTCTTGTTATCCCATCCTTATCACTATCGGCTCAGTCACCAACTCTCACACAGTAAGAAGCTCAGTAATTAACTGTTTTCTCACTCAGTAAGGTGGTGGGGGGAATCCTTTATCAGGGAGTGTAGTGACAGGACAAGGGGTAATGGTTTTAAATTAAAAGAGAAATAAATTCTTTGCTGTGAGGGGGGTGAGAGCCTGGCCCAGGTTGCCCAGAGAAGCTGTGGCTGCCCCATCCCTGGAGGGGTTCAAGGCCAGGCTGGATGGGGCTTGGAGCAACCTGGTCTGGTGAGAGGTGATCTTTAAGGTCCCTTCCCCCCCAAACCATTCTATGATTCTATGACTCTAAGGTTAGTAGGAAGCAAACAACATTTTGCCTTTGCTCCCTGCGTTTTCATGCTGTCACAGCTCATTCCTATTTCAAGGGTAAGTGTGGGCTATTTTATTTTGTGCCTGCCCAGCCGGGTGGCATTCCCTTCCTTCCTGCTCGAATCCTCTGGGCACCACTCCAAGGCAAGGAATGCCTCTTTGCCAATCCACCCAGCGTGGGCAGACAATGATATATGACCTTTCACAATATGGGGCGAGGTATTGATCAAAGCCATCGATCCCGTTTTTGAGTGACTGTCTCACCCAGGAAGACAAAGTGAAATCAAAAATCTGACGGCATCTGCAAAAGCCTGTGCCTCTGCGGAAAAGACCTGTGCCTGACTCAAATGCTTTTAAAGTTTTTTTTTTCCTGATTTTTTGGCCTGAACGGGGTTAAGAGATACCAGAATGTTGTTCACCTGTTTGTTTTGTTTGTTTATTTATTTGTTTGTTTGTTTAAAAAAAAGCCTTCTATGCAAAAAGCTTGTTGGTTTGCTTGGTTTGGTTTTGGATAGACAAGAGACAAGTGGATATCTCATAAGCCTTGACTCCCATGAGCATCCCTCAAGGACAGGGCCACTGCTCCCCCAGATCAGAAATGGTTTGCAGATGAGACAATAGGACCTGTGAATACATTTCCTAAGGTCTACACATTAGAAATACAGTTTTCTGTTTTGGAAGAAGCTGTTCTAAACTTGTAACGACCCACAGGAGTTAGCTATTATGTTCTTGTGTTATTTTACTGAGACATCATTAGTGGCTTGTTTCCTATCATTAACAGACAACTAGGACTGGCTCCCAAACAGCAAGTGATAAAAACATATCACCTCGTAAGTCAGCTTTTAAAACTTTCAGACTCACAACATACGTAACATATGGTGCTACCTGAAAATAAGTGCTCCATAAAAGTGTTCATTCCTTTTCAAGCCGTGCTGCGATAGTATTATAGCTGCTGAGGTGAGGTTGTGTAATGATAACCTATTTCTGAAGGAGCACGTAGGCAAATTTCTACCGATGACACACAGAAAGCATGAGTAATGGGTTTAGCATGCATGCATGCCGAATTGGGGCAATGAAGATGCTGGCCTCGGCAGCTGGATTCATGTTAAAATGGAAAAATAACCCTGTATTTCATTCTTAGATCTGCAAAGCCAAAGAGATCTCCAGTGTCACCTGGGCGGGGAGATGTTTAAATAGATATCTTCAGACAGAGAACACAGCAGTGAAGGAGATTGCTGAGAAATGTGTCAGTTCGGCGAAAAATGTGAATGTTAAGAAAATGTTTTCATACTAAGTATCAGTTCAGCAAAGAATGTGAATGTTAAGAAAATGTTTTCATACTGAAGACAAACAAACCAACCAACGCTGATTTGGTGCAAGAAGATTCCTGTGCAGGAGGTGCTCAAACGCCCCATACCCTTCATCTCCCAAAGGATGACTCTGTTTTCCCTCTCATCCTTAGAGCTTAGTGACACTTGCTATACTGCGTATGAGACATGCTGTGCAGCATTTCTCCATTAACGAATCAAAATACACCACGTTTCACTTTGGTGTTTTGTTTTTTTTTCTTTAAAATTCAATTTACACATTTAGTATGGTATAAGAAATCCTTCTTTGCTAAGGTCAGCAGCTTCACAGTCAGCCTTCATAAAACACTTTTGTTACCCTCCCTGGATAACGCTGTGCCTCATTGTTCCCCTTGCCAATAATTCATTACCTGAGGCAAACCCATCCCATCTTTGTGTCTCATCAGCATTTCCCTTTTAGCCTCATCCTTAGTCTCCCTGCTCATGATTATGCCTGATTAGTTGATAACAACCGACAAATGAAAACATTTTAAAGGCTGAAGCACGTCTCACTGGAGTTCTACTTTCTTCATAATTCTCCACCTTTAGATGAAAACCAAGCGAATCTCCCACTGCGGTCCCATTGTGTCAACATCCACAGGTCTGGAAGGAAGCCGTGAACCATCCTAGACAGGTCTATATATAAATGTTGGGATCTATATTCTCTCCCCTCTCCTCCTATTGCCCCCTAACGCTTGACAAAACAGACACAGAAGAAGAGAACAAGTAGTTAATCAAGTTTCCCTGGTTTAGTAGATGCAGAATCAGTTACCAAAGTGTTAAACAGGACTTTGTGACTCTGGTGCCCCTGAAATCCCTGAATTTTAGCCTTGTTGATATAAAAAGAGAAACATGGCACACTTTAAGCTGAGCTTCCCCGGCCAGGACATCTCCCGGGCTTCTCATCTCCGAGACAAGGTGGACTCACCTGGAGCCTGGACTCACCCATCCTACCACCTGCGATGCTTAAGCAGCACCAGCTCATGCAAACTTTATAAAATAAACCGAGCACACCGGTAACCCATCCTCCTCAGGAGCAACCACAAGCTTCCACTCACCTCTGTTGAAGAAGAAGCAGCAAAGATGTTCCCTGTGTAGGCATCTCCACGGTCAGTGAACTCACCCGGTCACCTCTCACATCACTGCCAGGGAAATACACTGGCACCAAACCCATTGAAATGAAAGCAAAAGCCTTTCCCTTCCGGACCAATCAAGTCTGACAATTTTCTTGTGGTGGATGCCAGAGAGATGCTGAATATTTTGGCAGAAACGCCGGCTTTTTCTAGGTGAGAATCTGCCTACATAGGATTTATGCAAACATTTCCTCACTTGGGCTGTAACCACCCCTTCAGCAGCTCAGCAGTTCGGTGTTATCGCCAAGTCTTTACATAGTTCTCAGTTTAAAATACTACCGCCGCCTAAAATAAGAGGAATTTCAACGGCAGTGCTCTCTGTAATGAGAGAGGTGGAAGCCAGTTTGACAATTTAAGCTGATAGCTGAGATGCTGCCTCGCCAGCATTTTTGGCACCTGGCCTAGGGAGGAAGTAATGAGAGGAAGGGAAGGGACAAAGAGAAAGAAGGAATAAAGGAGGGCGAGAGCCATCCCGTCCACTTAACATAATTACATATATCACCTATAGTGGGAGGTTTATAATCAGTGGAAAGAGAGCTGGGCTTTACAAATGCTACAGAAGGGCATTCCCATCCGCCAAACACAACCATCTCAATCTCCTCTCATCCTTGGAGAGCACAATAAGGGAGTGAAAAATATCATGTACTTTTAATCACTCAGCATATGGTCCACCTGATGCTCTTCTGAGAACAGACACCCACTGGAGCAGAGCACAGTGTTGAGGGATCACAAGACTTGGAGGAAAGAGGAGGAAGAAATTGGGTCCCAGACCAGAGCTGCAAGAAAGTCCTGGAGGGGACATTAATTTACACCTACTCAGAACAGGCACTTCAGAGCTGCTATTAATAGTAAGCTAAATTATTCAAAACAGCCACCTTATTGTGGGTGATGATAGGACTCTGAGACCAGAATGATGATGCTCTTAAAAAAAAAACAAGCCCCAAAACCACAACAGATTAGAGATGGGGAACCCCAGGTGGCAACCCCAAACTTCCAGCTGAAGCAACACCATCGCCAGGCACTCCGGTGGGAGCAGTTGCACAACTGCTATGGCTGCCCAGAGACACAATATGATAAAAATAATCATATCCAGCGTGATAAAAACAATCAAGCCTGCAGGTCAAAAATGTAATGAAGGACAGTACCTGCTGATCCAGAAATGACTACTGTGGCTGGGTGGGTACATGCAGGCAAGGTAAAAGTCAGGTAATAGCAAATAGGTATTTCTGCATTCACACCCGAGCTAAAAACTGTGTGAAAATTGATTTGCCATCCAGGCAGGTATACAAAATACCTAAACAAAGAATTCCTGAGCCACCTGCAAGCACAAGATTGGGCATATCAGAGAACAACATCAGCATCAGCAAACCACCTCTCAAGGGTGCAGGTACCTGCTGAATTAGGCACTGGAGAGAACTGTCTTGAGAAGCCCCAAAACATCATCTCAAACTGAAGCAGAAGCATATTCTGCTGCAGGGAGGGGTGTGAAAGGGTATCAAGCATCCAGAAGTTTTCTTGTGTGAATGCATCAAGCAACATTTGCCTGAAGTTGAGGGAAACATGTTGCCACAGAACACAAACTGGCCAATATAAAGAACCAAGAACTATTAATAACTGCAAAACATGTAATATAGGAACCTAAATAAGAACCACTTATGGATTATACTGTCAAGACCAACATGTTCAGGGCCAACACGGCAAACAGGAACCATTTCCAACTGATCCATGGAATGATGGGGAGAGGCAGAGCCCAGTAGCGGTTCCAGATTTATTATCCTCTGTTGACGTAGACTTCTCATTTCCAATATGCAAGGATTAGAGGTGGAACAGAAGGCACTGGAGGTCCTTTGGCCAAGTGGTAAAGATTGCCAAGCACCAGCTGAGGTCTGGTCTCCCAGGCCTTTGTACAAACAGCCGCAGTCAATGCAGCAAGTCTCCCTGGTGTTCAGGGCTTCCTCTGTGACCAAGAGGTGATGTGTCCCTTCTGGAATGGGAATGGCCCAACAGAAACTGGTCTGTGGAAAAAAAGGCTCATCTGTAGTCTCTAAGGAAAAAGGTTTTGCTGGTCAACTGCTTTAAATGTCACCTATTCAGACAAAGTATGTGATGACATACAGAGAATATCTGTCAAACCTTCAGATTTCTCTGGTGATGCCCAGGTTTGCCTCCGTGATATCAGACATGCAGGAGGTGTAATTGCCCTTGATGGATAGAGACACAACAGACAGAGTCTTGATTCTTCTGGAATGAATGGTCATGGCAGTCTCTCTTTCTCTGTTCTTTTCCCTCCCATTTCTTGGGGATTAAAACCCCGGGAAATGTCGCTTTACCTAGTGGGTGCTGGTTAAAAAAGAAGTCTATATGCATGGTACATACCATGCACATCAGTGCCATGATTAAAAAAAAACCCTTTTCAAAACATAAACTCAGTGAAAGCAAGACACGTGCCATCCCAGCGCAGACCTTGGTGCCTCTAAGGGCTGGAGCACACCACACAGGTTTGCAGTGGCTTCCCCTGCCATCTTGGTCGTTACTGTCTTTTCTGGTAATTTCTCTCTGACATATTTTTTTAAGAAGAATTAATCTCCCTGAGCACCTTCCCTTGTTTTTACAAATGGGGATCTTGAGATTCAGTTTGTTCAAGCTGTCTGTGCGCCGTGCAGAAGGCAGCTGATAAGCTTTGTATCATCACTGTAATTTGAATCACTGTAGACCAGTGATTTAATATTTTAATGTAATCCTCTACACACCTACAATCAGCAAATGCACATTTAGAAATAAAAAATTGTTTCAAAGTGCCACCAACTGTTGTTTTTGCAAACTGCAATTCAAAGAAGGTACTTTTGAAATGCTCCTATTAAATGTTGTAACATTTTCTGCTGTGGCACACAAATTACAAGAACAACCCTGCGTTACCCTTTTCCTGAGCGAGACAAGCGACACATCCCATGTTAATATCTCCTTATGGCTGGGTTTCAAAGGCAACACAACACAGTATACCAGGGATGCCTTTTCTGTTGATTGTATATTACTTTTTTTTTTTTTAGATTCATGTGTTTTAATGACAGGCTGCTTTCCAAAACTTTCAAGAAACCTCCAAAATTATCTGAGAGAACCCAGAGATCAAAGTTTGCTTTGCATTTGAGATATGGCTCCTATTTCTGATGTGTGAGTTCCTGAGCATTAAGCACGTGCTGAGAACACCACGCACCACCTCCTCTGCCTCCACCTCCTCCGGACCTTAATTTTCACTCTTCTCAAACTTTCCTTTCCTCAGTTCCCTCACCGCTTGCATTTTGATTTCTCCCAAATCAAGCCGGACTCCCCGCACGAAGAGACTCTCCTATGACCTGCCAGCAGGAAGCAAAGACACAGGATCATAAATTTCACCAGAAATGCGTAGTGGGGTTGACCTGTTGGTGCCATGAACAAGCCTAAATCATCACAGAAGTTCATCAGTCTTCATCGTGTTAGTAATGCAGCCTGAGACAGTCTTCCAGGGGACTGAAAACGGTTACAACTCCTGGTGAGCCCATCTCCATAAATAGCAGCTCTAAATCAATTCTGTTTGCTTGCTGTGATCATATGAAATGCATCAACTGTTGAATAAATCAATGTGACCCCAAAGATCGCTTGGCTTAACATCTTATTATTTTGTGGCTATAGGCTGATTAGGCATTTAAATATTTTTCTGTGATAGCATCTGCATTATTTGAATGTGCCAGATTGTGAACACAAACCTTTAGATTTCTCCAGTGCTTTATTTGCCAGCAATAACAATAATTAAAATAATAACAGCCTTCCCTTGCTTTTGTTGATACCATTTAGTTTTTCCCAGAGAGGACAAAGTAGGCATTTTACTGGGTTTGAAATGAAATGTGCTCTGCAAGGTCTGAGTTATTCAGCTATCGACTGGTGGGAGCATTCATTTTGGAGAACAGTAAGTCACTCCAATGTTCTCAGTCCAAATTGATCCAACAGAATGAGACCCCCCCCTTTGAAGTTTGAATTCCTCCACAATTTTTCTTTTCAAAACTGCAGCTCTGACCCCGCTCTCCCCTGCAGATGTAGCGGGTAATCAGTGCCTGATTGATTTCTGAGAGTGTGGATGGAAGAACAGGGAGAGAAACGAGGCAGTGACAGGAAAGGATGCAAAATTCAAGAACATCGTAGGCACGTGCCAAGGAGTCCTTTCATAAAGGCAATAGAGTGAAGACAGTGACGAAAAGGAATGGAAGACACATCTGAAAGGTGAAAGAAGGAGACTGTAGCTCATTGTCGGTGCAACCATTGGGGGAGGGAGGAGTTATCAGCAAAACCAGCACAGGGTTAAATGCAGGAGATGAAGGAGAAGGGGGTGCAGATTTGCAGAAGTTCCAGATCATATGGGAAGGAATCTGCTCAGTTTTCCACTCTGAGAGACTGGGATCCCAAGGCAGCACGTATTGACTAAACACTAGATGTCTGAGATGTGTGCCAGCTCCCTGTTCTTAAAAATATTGCAGAAGAAACAAATTAATAGTTTCAGAAAAGCACTGACTTATAATATCCATTATTTTCCTTGCAAGAGGAATTCTGATTTTTAAGATTATCTCAAAGATTTCAAATATTTTCTAACTGTTCCAAATGAACAGGAATATCCAGCTCCTCAAAGCTGCCACTGCCTCATTGGTACCCGGCTTCATCACTGAACCTCCTGGTATGAGAAAAACAAAGCACACTCAGTAATGCCTTTGTTTTCATTCATTCTTTTACAAGTAACCGCTTTATCACTACATAAGTCTCAAGTGCTGTGCAATATGACTTTCTACTTGTGGCTGCTCTTACAGGAGTAGTTCTGGCTATTTAACATCCATGATTGCCATTGCCACATGTATTACATTCAGTAAAAATAAGGCTGTACTTTGCGAGTGGCATTGGAAAAGCAATGGAGAACAAAATGACAAACACCAAACAAAACAAACTCTGGAGAATTTGCAGAGTAAAAAATCAGGCTTCTCACTAGTGAGGTTCTGCAGTTTTGTTTTCCTTTCCTGTTTAGATCTAGGAAAACCTAATTAGGATTCATCAAGTGACTGCTCTGTTGTCAACTTAGGTAACAACAAATAAAAAGTATATCCTTTTCCTTAACGAGGAGCAAATATGAATTTTGTAGAGCTGCAGCCAGAGCCTACTGCCCATACATAACACTGGTTTATAAAAACATATATTTTTTTCCATTTTCCTTGT